ACTTAAGGAGCAACCATGTCTTCATCAAGAGATAAGGAAAAGCAAAAAGTTAACCAAAGAAAGAAGGGCATTTATTTGATATATGCCCAAGGCTCTAAAAAGAATTTGTTGGTGTGCATTATACCATGAGGGGATTTTTAGAATAAGAAGGATAATAATATGAACCTTATTCTAATACTCGCACTAGTTATGAGAATTAAAGGATTGATAATATAACTCATAATTGTTAAGGACATCAACAAGTGCAACCACCATTCTAAGCTAGAAAATAACAAGTTGCTCCAAATTTAGGTATATCTATTGAGGATATCATTAATTTTCTTGTGATTAGTGCGATGCAATTTCGGTAGAAAACAAGTGCTAACCTTCGAAATTTAGAGGTTCAAGTGTGTCAATTGGCTACACTAATAGGTGAGGTAGTAACATAACCTATAAGCAATTTTCCCTCCGAATTAGAAATGGCTTTAAAAGAACATTCAAGTTCAGTAAATGAGGGAGAGGATGTGTTTGAAGAAGAGCAAGTTATTGAAGCTATCAAAATAGATCCAACTTGTAATGAATAACACAATAAGATTGTGTTTATTAATGAACTAGTCAAGCAAGAAAACGACATTGAGCAAATGGACTTGGATAATATTTTTGACATGCCCAATATTGAATTTTTCCTTTCAAATGAGTTCAATAACGATGCTAAGAAATTTAGTTTTTCTTGCCATTATTGCGTCTTATTTTATAGGTCTTATTCATGTCATTATCACTTTTGATTCTTCATTAGTTTAGGGTTCGAGAAAGGATTTTCTCTAATGATGTGAATGTGATATGTCATTTGAGACTGAAGTTAATAAGCCATTTATGGGAAATATTTGAAAGTGCATTTTATCTCGTCAAGCTTAACATGACCAGATTATTTATGAAGACTAAACAATACCAACATCGAGCTAACGGTATTAAACAAATACACTTATTGAGAGGCAACTCAATGAATTTATTTTAGATTTTATTTTTTTATTGGTTTTAAGTTAGTTTTGTTTTTATTTTTTTTAAACTTTCCTCCATGCTTGACTTGATTTTAAGGATGTTTACGGTATAGGTATTCTTTGGTTTTGAAAGAAAGAGAAAAAAGGAAAACCATATCGATAGTAGGAAGAAGCACGACATGTGCACTCGTAAAAAGCATGCTCATGTGGGAGCCCCGCATTCTAAAGTTCACATTAAAAAAGAAGAGGCATAGGTAGTAAGGTATGCTTATTTTATAATTACTCTTTGAAACTAGGCCTAAACATGGTTTAAGTGGATAAGATTTTCTAGTCGTTTTGGAGCATTTGATAAAGAAAACAAAAGAAAGCATTCCAAATGGAAAGTTGACCTTATTGATTGTAAATCTACTCCAATATTTTGAGTTGTTTAGTAACTAGAAGTATTCATCATAAATATTTACTTTTACATCAAACAACAACATGAATTATGAGTATGCAAAGTACTCTAAGTGTATGACTTGCTCGAGTAACTAGTTTCTTTCATCATAAACGTTAGTAATCATGTAAAAAGGCAAGTGATCGCTTAGTGAAAAGTTGTTAAAGGCATTAAAAAAAGATTGAAATCCTAAAATAAGAAAGAGTTTTAAGAAATGGAAAGGGTTAAGGGTAAAATAGGTATTACATGCTTGAATTATAGCTGGTTATAAAGACACATAAATCAATTTAGAGACATGTTGGGCATGAGCACAATATCATTAAACATGATTGATTTGATTATTTGATTTTATTGAATTCGAATCAAGATTCAGAATTCAATATTTGAAGGTTAAGCATATTATATTCATTTAAGATCTTATGGGTTTATCTTTTTAAAATCCTCATAAGACACAACTCATCCATTAGGGGTAACCTAGGGGTTGAAAGACTTATTGCATATGCTAAATGCAATTGTGGTTTCTATGAAAGTGAGTTAGTTTTTTATTTTATTTGCTTTGCTCGAGGACTAGTAAAGTTTAACTATAGAGGTATTTGATAGGTGAATAATTTATATAACTTTTTATGCTTTTTTACATTAAATTTACTAGTGTTTTTTATGTTATATTAAGATAAATAAGAACAAGTTAACGATTTTGAAATTTTGTAGGAACAATGATAAATTAGAGCAAATAAACTCAAATCAAAATGCATAAGAAGCCAAAACCACCAAAGAAATAAAGAAGTCACATGGTCATGTGGCATATTAGAGGAAAAAGCTACTAACCATGTGAAACAAAGAAGGAAACCATGAGGATGCTCAGCGAAAGAAGGCACACGAGATAGTAGCGATCAACATAGTTTGAACAAGAAAAGTGACATGCCCATGTAGGTGTCAAGGCTGAGATGCATCCCCAAAGAGAAGAAAAAGACATACGAGCGAGAAACTAAAGGACATGGGATGTCGTGCCGAGGCAAGCCATATGCCATTAGCTCTTCGAGGCTCCAAACCATGTGAAACAAAAGAGCAAGTTGCATTCCTTTTCCGAACAAACCTTATGTCCATGTTGAGCTACTATATGTGTGATGTAACCCAACTTTGTGCCATAAATAGAGAAGTTAGGGTTCATTCTAGTGATTCTCCCATTCTTGCGACCACCATAGATAAAATTAAAAAAAAAAAAAAAAAAACTCTTTTGTAAACAAACAATGTATCACTAAGAATCTTTCTTGGTTAAAGAAAAAGTTAAAGCTTTTGGTGTAAATTATTGTGAGATCTAAATGAGTTTTATCTTTAATTCTACTCTTTTGAGTATTTTATGTTTTTACATGTTATTTGAATATGATTGTATGGTTGATTGATTAGAACGCATGCTAGTTAGTTAATCATTATAATCTATTACTATAAATAAAGAAGTTAAGGCTTATTCTAGGGATTCTCCCATTCTTACGACCACCATAGATAATAATAATTAAAAAAAAAAAAACTCTCTTGTAAGCAAACCATATATCACTAAAATCTTTCTTGGTTGAAAGAAAATTTGAAGCTTTTGGTGTAACTTGTTGTGAGATCTAAACATGTTTTTATCTCTAATTCTATTCTTTTGAGCTTTATATTTTTCTATTTATTTGAATATGATTATATGATTGATTGGTTAGAGTGCACGCTAGTTGGTTAATCATTATAATATATTACTATAAATAGAGAAGTTAGGGTTCATTCTAGTGATTTCCCCATTCTTGCAGTTGCCATAGATAGAAAAAATGCTCATTTGTAAGCAAACCATGTATTACTAAGAACCTTTCTTAGTTGAAGGAAAAGTTGACACATATGGTGTAATTTTTTGTGAGATCTAAACGAGGTTTTTATCTCCAATTTTATTCTTTTAAGTGTTTTATGTTTTTCTATATTATTTGAATATGATTATATAGTTGATTGATTAGAGTGCACGTTAGTTAGTTAATAATTATAATATGTTGCTAGGTAACTATTTAAGTCCGTAATTGCTTGTTTAAACTTGGCTTATGGTAGCAATTAAGGGTTAATAATTATAAATGGGTTTTTTTAATTACTTGAAAAACATAAAATTAGATTAAATTCTTCTAACATCTAGGAGGGTTGTTTAGCTCCACCTATCTTTCTATCATTTAATACTCGTTATTTGATTAAATCTAGTTAGCCTCTACTAGGTTGTTCAATAGTTACGGATTAATCAAATATCATCTATTTGGTTAACAAATCAATAAGGAAATATTATAGATAACATATATGTTATTATCTTATGATGGACATTCATAATAAGAATCGATTAATGTGTGAATAGATGATCAACGAGTGAACCAAAAGTGGAGATCCATCTACGACCAAAGCTTTGTTTATTATTGTCAACTCTCAATTTAATTTAGGCTCCCACAACTCCCATCCCCCTCCTTTTACTTCACTTTGAGACAATTTAAAGATAAAGAACATTGATTGAACCATTTCTTTGTGAGATCTATCATGACTTGCCCTAACCATAATTTTGTATTTGGGTTGAGTGAGGAAAATAAATAATCAAATTTGTCGGCGATATGACACGCCGTCAAAATTCTTCCCCTTGAGTATTTGAATTTTAATTTCAACAACACCGACATAGCATAAAATTAGTAAAAAGATAATTACTATTAAAAAAAAATAGTCTTCTATCTTTATGTCCTTTTCCTTGCATCATATCAACAACATTAATAGAACATATAGAATTAGTAAAATAAATAAATAAATAAATACTTTTAAAAAAATGAAATATATAAGCACTTTCACCGTAAAAACCTCTGCTGTGAAGTAATGAATTACCTCAAAAGATATATTACATCAATTCATTCAAGGTGTCAATTGAAGTTTATTAATTGGTAGTGGGGAAGAGGAATTTAGAACAAAGCAACGGCAAGAAGAAAGCAACAAGTAAGAAAGAAAAATTGAAAATTGGAAGGAAGGAAGGAAAGAGACACCCTGCCTTCCTCTCCTGACTATTTTCAAACCCTCTCCCATGTGTGGACTTTGACCATTACTTTTCAATACCTTTGGCTGGCTGCGTTATACAATATTTTTCTGCTCTAAACAACTAGTCCTACTACTTTTCAAGTTCTTGCACGCCAGAAATCTCTCTCTCTCTCTCTCTCTCTACTAACTAGTAGTATTATTTCCTTGCCTTATTCTTCCTTTTTCCCCCTTTTTCCTTTCCTCTTTCTTCTTCATACATGACAACTGGTGGCCCCTTATAATCCCCACCACTGCTACTTTTCAAAGCTCCTCCCTCTCTCTCTCTTTCCAAACCTAGCAAGCTGGGTTTGCTTATTTTTCAACTCTTACCTTTCTTCAGTTCCTCTCTTTCCCTGTTCTCCTTAAATAACCTGCATACTTCTCAAACAGATCATCCATCCATGGAGATCAAAGCAAGAGGGAGTTAGTATTCAAATAACATAAAAGAAAGCATAAGATAGAGATCCAAGTTAAGGGATCACTCCACTATGCATCAACATTATTATTCTTAGCCCAAGTTCTTGAACCTCATGATGGACGCCGTCTTCTTTCTGAGTGAAGTAGAGCGTGCCAACTTTCTCCGATATTTCATGCAGACTTTTGGCAGCACTTACATTTGTCTTTGGTCATATCTACCTCAACCATCTAAGTATGTTTTGCAATATTATCTCTCTCCCATAATCATCATAAATTTTTTATTAGTACTGTTCATTCCTTCAAATATATATATAATTAAGTTTCCATTAATGCTTAACGTTGCTTATGTTTATGATTCAGCTATTTATTTTTCTGGGATGGATATTACCTTGAAGAAAACAATCAACCCAGTTCTTCTTCAGGAAGTGTTGCTAGGGTACTTTTCGATCAATATCGGCGAGAACGATTCTTTACTGTAAATGAGTATGACACGCACGTTCAACTATAATATTCAGTTGTATTTTCTTCTCTTTAGATGTGCTAATGATCTTCTATATATATATATGTATGTATGTATGTACTTGCTAATACTTTTTTCTTTGTTTGCTGGATCCTATGTATATCAGCCGTGTTCCTGGGATCGCTTTCAAAAATAATATTCCCTGCATAGAACTGAAGGAATTTGAGCTTCAAAGATCGGCATCTACTGATGCACAGAGGCAATTCTATCAGGTAATAGTTTTATGACGATAATAGCAAGAAGAAAAAGACTTCTTTCTGTTGATAACAATCAATCAATTCAATATGTTCTGCCAGTAATCCCATTGAGTCTTATATGGTTGCAGGAAGCAAGGATTAAGGTTAGGTTACTTTCCTCCCTCCAACATAATTAATTAAGACAAGTTTCATTTCCTTTACAACGTAGATAATTATGTGATCATTAGTGTATTTTCATTTTTTGTTCCTATGTCATTTTAGACAGCAGTCTTCATGGGGTGCAAGAGTGGGGAAATTGAGCTAGGCTGGTCCAATGCAACTCACCAAGTAAGAAACCTGAATTAAACCTATTAACTTTTTTCCCAATTAAGTCATATTGTTAATTAGTTATATATATATATATATATATATATATATATATATATATATAGCCATTTCAATACAATCGGAAAGAAGAAAATAGAACCCTAGCCAATTGAAATGATTCAACTGGGTTTTATATACTTTTCAGTTTAACATAGAAAATCAAATGAGGAATTGGTTCCCGGAGGATTTCTCTCGGCAATCTCCACTAAGGGAACTTTCCCAAGCAGTTGATCCAAACAAACCCTCATCATCTTCATCGTCGCTTAGATCGCTATCCATGGATAGCCCAGAGATCTCTTCTCTTATGTTCACTATTCCAAGCTCATCTCACATACCAGAAGCACAACGAGAGGCTCCCTCATTAGTGCCACCGATATTACCAAGCGCAAGCAATCCACTCCAACATGCATTGCAATTGTTGCAACCACTGCCGAGTCCAACCTGTAATCTTCTGCAACAATTCTTTCAGTCTTTGCAGCAAAAACCAAGCTCAACTAGTCCACAGCAGCAAGCAATTCAATCTTCACAGTCAATACCAAGCACTACTGGTCTACTTCAAGAAGTCATGCAGCCTTTGCAAGCAATAGAAAGCATCAGTAGCCCACACCAACAAGCCATGCAAGCGTTTGCCCTAGAACGTAACATTCAGTTGCCTACTCGAGAGAGTGAAGATGCTGTAATGACTAGAGCCATCCTTGCAGTTTTAACTTCTTCTTCCTCTTCTTCTTCTTCTTCTTCTTCTTCTTCACACAGTTTACCACATATGTACCGGGTAAGCCAGGGAGCTAGTGCTTTCAAGAATTATAGATCTGCTCTAGCCCCCACAACACAAACAACAGCCAGTTTACACAGGCAAAGTATGCTTAAACGAGTAATTATCTATTACAGAAGCTTATATATTGCAAGACGTGAGCATATTCTCGCAGGCCGCCCGACAAGCAATCAGTTGCACCATATGATATCAGAGAGGAAAAGGCGTGAAAAGATTAATGAAAGCTTCCAAGCATTGAGATCAATTCTTCCCCCAGAAGCTAAGGTATATATGACTGAACAGCCAGTTTTTATTGCTACAACATACCAATAGCCAATTAATGCATTGACAATTGATTAGCATTTAAGTATGGTATTAGCTATGCATGCGTTGTAGAATTATAGAGTAGAATTAATTCAAGTATATATAGATTTCTAGGAATTGATATGGGGTAGCGATTAATGTACAATTGATTGAGGCTTGCACGGATTTAAACTGTTTTACTTTGATTTTGGATTGATTGATTGTATAGAAAGATAAAGCATCTGTTCTTACTCGAACAAGGGAGTACTTGACCTCTTTGAAGGCTCAAGTTGAGGAACTCAGTCGAAAAAACACGCAATTAGAAGCACAACTTTCAAAAGCTGCTGTTACACAAGTAAAGGATTCATCAAATGAAAGACTTGATGTCCGGGTTACACACATATCTGAATCAACATCTGAACAAAGGATTATAGACTTGCAAGTGAGTCTAAGAGGAGAATGCCCCATTTTGGATTCCGTAATTATTAGGATATTGGAGTTCTTAAAACAAGTTACGAATGTGAGGTTGATGTCCATTGAAGGCATCACAAATGCAGCAGAATCAACTTCTTTTAATCGAGTGATCCTGAGACTCAATATTGAGGTATGTATCTATATATGTATATTATGTTTTAATACATGCATGTATACAGTCTTAGTATTGAGTAGTACTCGATCTGCAACAAATACCTGAACAACAATGTTACAATTGCATACGTCCTTTCTTTCTAAGGGGTGCAAATTGAGTAAATTTAACCTTTATTTTTTTGAATTTGTTAATTGCTTAGTTCTTTCCTAGATTTTTCATTACTTTTTGTTTATGACTTCAAAGATTAAAATTAGCCAAACAATTCATTAATTATTATTATTATTTAAATTAGAAAGACTAAATTATTTGTTTATTTCGCAACAACACAGGGACTAAGTTATAATTTGCTATAGGAAATTCGAGGGGTGTAAAAAAAAAAAACAAAGAGTGTATAGGAATATAGGTATTGAGTTTTTCTAGCTATATATATGTGGAGAAGGTTTCTTTCTATTTTATTTTTGTCTTTTTTATTCTCATGGTTCATCTGGACTCCCACTGCCCCACATGTTATTTAATGACCATCAATTTCTTGGAATAAAACATTTCCTGTCATTTTCCTATATATAAATAAATTAGAGAGTGATATATGTGTTAATTGATTTGTTGATTTCAGGGGAATGATTGGGACGAGGCTGCCTTCCAGGAAGCAGTTAGAAGGGTTGTTGAAGATCTCGCACATTGACCGTCGGACCTATCCTTGAAACTTCTTTATATTTGAGGTGGCGACCATCGCTACCCGATGATGATGATGACGACGACGATGATGCATGCTTATTCACCTCTTTTCCGCTCATTTCCACCAACCAATTAATGTACGTTATTTGACATGCCTTGTGGTTATTCTTAATTTTTTGTAGGGGAATTGAAGTGTTTTGATTTACTTCTTCAATTTTGGCTCCTGTGCTAGTGTTTTGTTGCATAATTTTGATGGCTAGCTAGTCATAGAGAAAGCAAAAGCAACCTGTATGCTATTTTGATACAAAACGTTAAATAGCAATTCATGCTAAAATTATTTTGGTCTACAATCCTCTTCGCTATGTCTGGGAATTAAGGGTGAAAGTGGGAAGAAACAAAAACATACAATTCCAATATATTTTGTTTTTTTTTCTTGAATTAAAAAGATGTGAAAGAAGAAAATAAGAAAGATATAATTAATTTTTCAATCTCTCCAATTTGAAAAGACAATGAAGGAGCAGCAAAATGACAGTGTTATCCTTGTAGTTCCATTTTTTTATTTAAACTATATGAAAATTTTATCTTTCAAAATTTTTCCTTCCACTTTTTTCATAATCTAGAAAAATAATAATAATAATAATAATTTACGTACTTATCTTCTGTTTCTTTTCTTCTATTTTTTATCCCATTAAAAAAAAATACCTCATTTCCTTTCCTCTACTTTCTTTCCTTCCTAATCATCTCATTTTATTCCCAAAAATAATGTTCGTGAAGATGGATTCAAAAATTGCAAACTTTGGCTATGCTTTCTATTTGGGAACCTCGATGTTCTCCCTAACATGTTCTATCTTCCCTCCCAAAACAAAAAAAAAGAAAGTATTATCAATCAAATTGTTAGTGCTTTATGCATTTTTATTTGGATTCTTCAGTTAACATCCATTATTATTTTCCAGTTTAATATGCATATTTTACTTTATGAAAATTGTGATAAAAAATATTAAAGACACACATAGGATAATTCAATTGAGAATTGTCTAAATATTAGAAACCCAATTGCTAAAACATATTATTTGGGATCAAATTGAGAATTGGGTAATACCATAGAGGCTAATTTGGAGTTAATTATAAATTAATCCCTCTATTTTTAAAATAAATAAATAAATTTTTTTATTTCAAAAACTAATTATTTAGCCTATTGATCAATATTCATCATGCTTAATTTAATATTATTTATTTTAAAAATATATTTTTTTCTTATCAATCTTTTCATTATACCTATCTGTTTTTTTAAATTAAAAAATAAAAAAAAGAGATTAAATAATTAGATTTTAAAACAAAAGAAACTAATTAATTCATTTCTTAGAATTAAAAAATTTAACTTATCATTTACGTGCTAATTTGAGAATTTTATTTTATTATTATTATTATTATTATTTTGTACCATTAGGATGGATTGATGCAAACAAGATTTGAATGTAGAACGTCACCTTGCTTTTGCAAAAATAGTATTGGAAATGATCATGTTTTAATAAATTCATCATATTCTTCCCAAAAGAAACAGACGGGCAAATCTCCAAATTCTTATTTAGTATCAAACCCTCAAATACCTCTATATATTTGGGCGACCTTTTTTTTTTTTTTTTCCTGCTGAAAATATTGGGAGGACATTTAAGGTTTGTCCAAAGACCAAGAAAAAAAAGCATGGTGCAAGCGAGAACCATTAAAAAAAAAACCTTTATGTAGCTTTCATGGTTTCTTTTATAAAGAAATGAGCAACATATGTTCTGCCACGCCATCATTTTAGGATTCGAAAATCGGTCTTCTTTTTTCTGCGCGAAGGATCCAAAAAGGGCTTTGGAGGCGGCGGTATTGACCGGTACCTCTGAAAAGTAAGATAAGTGAGGACCAGGCAGAGTATGTATGTAAGTGTACGTTGCCCTAATTTATTTAATCTTTATTTTTCTTGTATTTCGAGAGGAGCAAGCAAAAAAGAGGAGGGTACAAGAGAAGTATCAAATCTCATAAGCCTAATTGCAATCGTTTGGCTATCTAATCAAAGAAGTTTTTTTTTTTTTAGTTTCAAAAATTCCGCCAATGTTAATTATAAGGAACGTATTTCTTATAAATACACCAATCCGAATAATCATCATGATGAATCCTATTAATTTTTAATTATTGAAGACTATTAGGCCATGGTTTTTATTTTATGGTTACCCCCATATGAATAGTTAATTAAAGCCCGATCGATGTACATATTTGTCGTCGGTTTTAAAAGTTAAGCATCTACACCAAGTTTTTGCCAACATCATTATCAATGAATTTTGTTTAACCTTTGCATATAATTGCCTAGAGATCGGTTCGCAAGGAAGGTGGGCGCTGCATCGATCAGTGCATGATCGATCTAGTTCAGATCGTAGAAACTATTATGACTCTACAACTTGCAATTATTATTCATTATAAACAAAGTCAATTTTATTTGCTTGATGGAGACACATAATTATATCTTTCGCTATATGTTACTGCTAACATAAATCCTACCTCGGGACAAAAAGTTGTAGGGAATTTTAAGAATATTTTATTTTATTTTGTCAAAATACTGCTTTGCATAGAAGACATAAATCTTTGATTTTATTACTCCTTTCTACTAACGAGTGAGCAAAATTCGGTGGTGGATCTATATATAAGGGGGGAAAAATTAAAACTTCAAACAAACCCATCACTGACATGAGAAGATAATATTGGCATCTACAAACCTCTTTTGCCTGTGCAGAGACAACACTGAGTTGTAGAGGAAGAGTTGGACTTCAAGAACCCTCTCGTGCAGACAAGAGGAAAAAGATTGTATTTTCTTTATGCATAAACCCTGAAAGAGAAACGCTGCAATTTGAAGATTTGTTTTGCTCTTTTTAATAATTTGTAACATAAATTTCAACTTTACCGCCATAGATTCACCAATGCTTTATTTATGCCCTTATATTATAAATATTTCTAATTTCACCCTTATAGCCCAAAGTTTCAATGTTACCCCTAATCATTAAATAACCTGTCGCTGCCCGACATCCAATGGAACTTCCAAAGAAAAAAATTTAATTATATTTTTGAATTATTTATGATTTATGGAGGTGTAAGTTATTATTAATTTTGGGAGTTAAAATCTAGTATTTTAGAAACTTAAAAATAATACTAGTTTAGAGATTTTAGGATAAAGAATTAGATACGTTTTTTGAAAAATATTGATCACACAAAAGCGTCATTTCTTAAGAAAGATATAATGTCTAATTTTGTTCTAAAACTTATCTCCTAATGTGTTTTATTTGTGTCAAATTATTTCCAATTCAAACTTTAATTTTTTTTTCTTAGGCCAAATGAAGTTTTTTATTTTTGTTTGTGGCATCGTGTTGAACCAATTGTCGGACCCTTTAGTTAGAAGACACGTTAGTTCAAACATTGGATCCACTTTAAGTCTCGACATAACCAGGTATGTCGAAGAACTACCTAATTAGTAAAGTGATTTTTGGCTAATAATAATCCTTATTAGATATGAGACTTTTTTAATTTTTCTTCGCATTTTCTATTTTTTCTATTTTTATTTTTTATTCATTATTTTTTTAGCTAATATTTATTCTCCTTTTCTTTTTCTTTTGTGATTTCTCTCTTTTTTTTTTCTCTAACGTTTGAGACCATCATCAAAGATAGAATAATCATTCAAACAAAAAATTTAAAAGTCACAGGATCATAAGAGGATCACGTTTTCCAAATCATTCAAGCAGGATCGTCTTATTATAAATCATCATCCAAGCGTAGTCGCTCACAATAGATCATTATTCGGACAAATTCGCCTCACAAAAGACTATTTTTTAGGTAGGGTCGATCTACAATAGATCATCCTTTCGGGTAGGGTCGTTTAATAATAAACCATCATCCTAGCAATGTTACTTCATAATAGAATATCATTTCAACCAAGGTCATCGTATAATAAACCATCATTACGAGCAAGATTGCCAATTTAGCTCATTGTTTTAGATAGGATTGCCTAATGATCATTCTCATTTCAACCGAGCTTGCCTAATTAATTTGTCATTTTAGATAGAATTGCTTAACGATCAATTCTCTATTTCAAACTAGGTTGCCAAATTTAATTCATCATTTTAGGTAGGATTACTTAGCAATCACTTCTCATTTTTAAGTAGGATAGCCAATTTATTTCATCGTTTTAGGTAGGGTGTCTAATGATAATTCTCATTTCAAGCGAGGTTGTCTAGCTTAGTTCGTCATTTTAAGCGAGGATTGTCTAGAGATCACTTCTCATTTTTAAGCAAGGTTTCTAATTTAATTTGTTGTTTTAGGTAAGGCTTTCTAACAATCGCTTCTCATATTCGGATAGGGTTGCCTAATTTAGCTCGTCCTAACAACGATTTTCTATTTCAAGCGGAATTGTCAAATTTAGTTCATTATTTTAAGCAAAGTTATCTAGTGATCACTTCTCATTTTCAAATAAGGCTACTAACTTAGTTTGTCATTTCAAATAGGGTTCCTTAATGATCACTTCTTATATTTAGGTTGGGTCATCTAGTTTAGTATGTGTAACATTTGGTACCCATTAAAAACCCTCATTTAATAAATTTAAGAATATTAAAGGCATATGAAAAATGTTTTGTGAGCATGGAATAGTCCTAAAGGGTTGCTAGAATATTTGAGATAGTTAAGATGATTTTTCTATGCTTAGTGAATATTTTGTTGATTTTTCGATGCATGAATAGTGATTTTATGTGAAATAATTATTTTAAGCATGATGAATGTGCATGAAAAATATTTTCTTTGCATAAAATATTTGATAGAGGGGTGCTAGGTTATTTAATGCTATTGGATAAATGTTTTAGAAGTTTTGTGATTATTTTATGTGAACTCGACTTTGTATAAATAGTGTTTTTGAGGCAAATTAATTAATTTGAGTGATTTAAAAGTGTAAGAAAATTACCCAATGGACATAGAAAAATAATTTAGGATGTGTAGGAACATTTTACAAAGTTAAATGAATTTTCTATAAAAATAAGTATAATTCTACACTAAATAATTAATTAGAGACCTAGATTAAGCGTATAAAAATTATATGAATGATGATTAAATTCTTTTATGAGGTTTTTAAATTTATTATGAAAAGAAATTAAATTTTGAAAAGGTACGGAATAAAATTTTAGAGTTACGGACTTAATTCCATAAAAATTAAGGACCTATTTACATAAAATTAAAATTTTAAATTTTCAAATTAAATTAGATATGAATTTTAAGAGTCAAAAAAATTTGTAGAAAACCTTTAACGGAAGAGCCTTAAGTAATTAATTGAATAATTGAGGGACTTATGAAAGAGTAATTAGAGAAAAGATTAGCAACTTTAAGGACCAAAATTAAGTAAATTTTTGGAGGAATTTCTTCACCTCTTGCCACTGCGTTCAACTCAATAATTTAGGTGTAATTAATGCATGCACAAATGGAAGAAGAGATTTAAACAGAGTGGTTAGATGGAGAAACAAAATTTAAGGACTAAATAGATGGCTAAGATGAAAACAATTGAAAGGCCAAGATTAAATTAAGGGCTAGGATTGCACAAAATTAAGGGTGGAGATTAAGTCAAAAGTCTATCAAATGTTTTCCTATAAATATTGGTACAAGAAAATGAGAACAATGGAAGGAAAATAGAAAAACCTAAGGCAAAATCTTACCATTTTTTCATCAAAATTTTCACCCATATTACTTCCAACCACTTCTAAACATCCTAGACCACTTAACTAAGCCTAAATTTTAAGTTGGAAGCTCAAAAATTTCAAGGAGGAATTTAAAGAAGATGGGTCGAATTTAAAGGAAAAGATGGAGGAAAGAAATTTCAAATTTCAAGAATAAATTGGAGCTTGTTTATGTAAGTTAATCTCACCTACACCACAAGGACTATTTAATTTATGCCAATTGATGATTTTGATAATTTACTTTGTATTTATTGGCCTTAATTTGGAAAATTAGGATTAGGTTCCTTGATGAGGAAAAAGAGGAAAAATGATTCTAAGTTAGAAATTCATGGAATTGAATTCTAAACATGCCAATTGAGCTTAAAATAGATGATTAAAAAAAATTAAGGTTAGAAGTGAGGAGACATTCGCCAAATTCTTAATTTTTAAGGTTTTTTATGCTTTACTTGTTTTGATGATTTCTCACCCGATTATATATTAATTAGGTATGAATTGATGATTGAGTGTGAAAAATTGCATTGGAAATAAAGAATTTTCATTGAATTTCTCAAGAACTCAATCGACCCAAAACTTGTTATTTTAGGAATTTAGTTCATTTGCTTACTTGATGAATTATGGATTAATTAGGAGTTGAAAAAACCTGAATCAAAGATTAAGAGTAAGGAATTTCATAAAAGTTGAAGAATTTTACCTAATTTAACTCTGGACCCAAATTCAACCCAATTGAGAAGAAAATTAGGGTTTAAGTGTTTTTAATTGTTAATGGTTTAATTGATCAATTTGGAGCTCAAATAATGTAATGGGATGAATTAGGATGAGAAATGGCATTAAAATTGAAAATTTAGGTTGGGTTACCTTAATTAGGGTTTTAGCCCATTAAGACCTAATTAAGGTTTATGCAAGTATTTAGCTAATGATTGCTTAATTAATTAAGCTCTAGATATTGTTAGCACCCAATTTTTATTCAAAAAAAAAAACAAGAAGAAGAAGAAAAAGAAAAAGAAAAAAGAAAAATAGTAAGTAAAAAAATAATAATACAAATGGGGCGAGCAATTGAAAAAGAGAGGAGAAAAGAGCCAAAATAAAGTGAGTTTGTAAAATGAGGGACCAAAATGAATTTTAACCAAAAAAGCCCTAAAAACCTAGTATAAAAACACTCATTTCTCTCAAAAATCACAAGCTACTGTTCACCCCATTAAAAAGAACCTTAGCGACCGGCAGCCCATTTTCCCCCTTAACACCCAACAGCACAGCGAACCACCATAACCCCTCTACCAGTACGCTCGCAACCACTTCCTCCCCACGCCCATCTCCTCACACGTCGGGCCCCCTTCTCCACGCCCACGAGCCTACACGCATATGCCGGCAAGCCTCCACGTGAGCCTCCACCGCAGCGAGCAAGCCTCCAAGCGGGCCTCGCTCACGAGCCTACTAGCACCCCCGGTGCGCACCTCACCCACAGTGCCTACCAAGCACCCTAGCGCCTCGCCCCGGCGCATGCCTCGCTCTAGCGCCCTCACCGAAGAACTCGCCGGTAGTCACCGCTTTTACCCACCTTTCCTCTCCGGTTGAACAAGTATTGATCTCTATCGGGATTGAAAAGGTCATATCCAACTTCGAGATCGCCAACCAAATTTGTCCAACTTCGTTTTCTTTATAGTAATTTTTTTTTACTTTTTTATTTCTTTTATTTTTATTTTAACATGTATTAAATTTAATTCATATTGATATGTGTTGTATAATTTGTTAAATGGTAGTGTTTTGTAATTAATTTGATCTATTGTTCATATGTAATTAATCCGAACTATGGTGATGTGCATTGGTTGAGTTCGCGATTCTTGTGAATGATGTGTAATGTTTTTTTTTTTTAAGTGCATCTTGTATGGTAATTTTATTTGAAAAGGCACCATGTCGACTCAAATGAGTTTGGATCTTCGCCATGTAAATTTGTTCATTAAGCCCGATTAATTATGCGATCAAGATAACTAATTCCATCGATTTTAGCATGATGGGCGATTTTCGTTGATTTTTTGCCTCTGTTTGCTTAAGTTTGTCGATTTTTGCCTATATTAGTCTAAGTCGTAGATTTTTGCCTATGAC